CGGTACCGGGAACCGAACTCACGACCTTGCGCTTGCCAGGCAGGCGCTTTTGCCGTTGAGCTAAATCCCCAGCCCCTTCTAGCCCACTTATTAAACCTCTTCCAAAGTCCTCCCACAAAGTAGTTCCAAAGGCTTTAAACCACATGATTGTGTGCTGTCACAGCAATGGCCCTGCTCCCAGTGCTAAAATCTGTCCTAGTTACTTTTCCGTCACTGGTCGTGATACCAGATACCCAATTTTTAAAGTAGAAGTTTATTTTGGATCAAGTTTTCTGTGGTATAGGTTTTGCCATATTTTTAATTGTATCTTGCCATATAGTATAAACATTTATTTGCTTTTTACTATCTTACCCTTCTAGAAAGCATGTTCACTGATAACAAAGTTTTATTTGTATTGTGCATTTTTGTAAATACAGTAACTATAAGAATAATGGACAGAGGCCAAATAAATATTGTCGTAGGTTACAAATTTATTCCAGACAACAGCATTTTGAAATGCTACCATAGTTTCATAACTAGAGAAGATAAGCAAATTACCCTGTGTCATATAGTGAGTGAATACTGTAGCAAGATCTTTAACAAAATCTCATCACTCGAAACTGGATACCATTTTGTATTGTGAAATAGTGTTCTCTAATGTAAATAGAGTTTTTTTTTAAATGTTCTACCAAGTTCTTTTATCCTATATAATTTTGGCATCAGACTTTTATCAAACACTCAGGTTTCTGCAATTTATTTCTTTACAAGTCTCTAAAAATCATACATACTTTCAAAGATCATCTGTTTTATTTTTATAATTACATACATTGTTGCTTCACTTCCCCAATGTAATTTGAATTATATGAACTGGCATGCTCTCTATAGTCAATATGGTTTTTGTAATGCTATCTAAAAGTTTTGGAATAAACAGAGAACACAAACTTTAAGAAATACAGGGAAAAGGTTATCTTGAGCGCTATGTACTTAGGAATAATCTTTATTTTCTTGGAATGTTCAGAAAACTTAGTTCTTTCAGTATAGGTTGCAAAATTTTCAATTTGAAAATAATGTGAAACATTTATTGCAAATTATGGCAATAAGAAAAAAATACCACCCAAAACTCTAATAAGCATTTGTTTACCTATGTTGCCTCAGGTTAACTTAAAATCCATCTGCACATCTTTTTACAATTGTACTCATGAAGAGGATAAGTACATATTTTTGTTAAAATGTTTTAATACTATACTAAATGGGTATGATTCCTTACACATTATAAGTGATTTTCAAGTTTTATTATTCAATTTACATTCAAAGTCTGTGTAAAACTGAGGATGGCTTGTATTCTATGTCTCCCAAGAGCCATTTGTGCATATGCCATAATAGGGCTTCTGGAAGATGACTGGATTATGGGTATATTAAAGCTGACTTGCTCTTAAGAGGTGGGACCTGGAGTCTGCACCCCCTTCTCTTTTGTTTTCTGCTTCCTGACCACCAGGACTTGACCAGGTTTATTCTACCCAAGTCCTCTGTCCTGTTGTTTCTATGTTTGAGCCTCCTAAACATGGACTATCTTTTAAAATATGAACTCAAATTAACATCTCTTCTCCTCCTTTAAATAGCATGTATTTCTATCCCAGCAGTGAAGACAGCCACTAAGACATTAATATTATTCCAATTTTATAAGGAGAAATAAAAGACTAAATTATAGAACACTCAATTTCATGTCATACTAAATTTTTAAAATTCCAACAAATTTTAAATTAACACTAGTTTTTTCAAGAGATGTAAAAACCTACATAAATATAACGATCTATGAATTTATGAATTAATCATTTGGCTTTTCTCACTTGAAATATAATATTTACAATTTTCCCTTTGGGTCCTGCAAGGCAGCTGTGCTCACCACTATACCACCAACACTGCACTCCCCTTTGGATCCTGAAACACTCATGTCCAGAACTTAGATTTCAGTATATTAGCAGACCAAAGACATATTGCCATTGGTAAATTTATTTATTTAATCTGTAACTCAATTTGCTACTGAGAATTTCTTCCATTATTCATATTTTCAATTTTTAAAATAAACAACATCTTTCACATTATTCATCCTTTCATTTCACACCGAATATGGAATATTTTTGTCTTAATTAGGAGTTTGAAAGAAACAAAAATGCCAAACACACACACATATGCACACACATAGATTCACCCCACTAAAACATGTGCTCATTACTGAGTTTATTGAATGCTGCTGTACTTTTTCTCCTAGGTTTTTGTCAATTTTCAGCTCTTTTGGACACATGTTAATTGTTGGCCTTCACTATTTTTTTTCAGTCCTTTTATGTGGAGCTCTTACATGGTCACCATATTTGTGCCCAAAGGTGAGATTTTTTTCAGTCTTTAGAATCTTATTAGGAACGTATGCATTTGAACAGGGATTTTCCAAATAGAAAGGAGATCCCATACACTACCCCTCAAATGGCCTGGATTTAAAAATTAAACCTATGTCCTTTGAAGGAAGCAAAACTCTACCTTTATCGCTTCCTCGAAGCAAGAACTATTAACCTAGCATTTACAAGGCACTATACATTATTGATAGAAGAGAACCTCATCTGGGCCTCCTGCCTTCCTTAGGGTTATGTGCTTGGCAACAAGGCTTCATGGAGGAAGGACACTAACTGAAAAATTGTTAGCTTGGAATTTCTCTAGATTGCATCCGACATGCACCCCTGCAGATGGGTAGGAGTTCACATGGTGCAGAAATACAGAAAGAGTGTAACAGATAGTGAGAGGGGAAATGTGGATGAAAGGTATTGTGGAGTACAAATTTTGTGTGGAAAGATGTATTGTGAACACATATCAACTCCCTATAATAAATATATTCTTTATGTACTGTGAACATATAATAAAAAAGAGACAGGGAGGGACTTGGTTACAGAATATTTCATGTACATTTAGTTAGTAATATGCCATCAAAGTTCTTTACTAATCATCTGGGGGGTTCTATGTGGACAATATAAATTCGGCTGCATGTCAGAGTGTGTTTAGAAGGAATGTCATTCTGAACTATTGGGCTACTGTCTTATCCGCATAGTGGGAGCAGTTGGGGACTGCAGGAGGGCAAGAGTTAAGAGTAGAAAAGAGGATTTGCATCCAAGAAATGTTCTAAGATACATTCCAAATTCTTGAGAATTCACTGGAAATAACAAATGAGAAGGATGACAATGGGGTGATGTTTATTTTCTGACAAAGGCCCCCAAGGACAATGCGTTTAAAAAGTGGTGGACAGGGCCATAATTTTGGCAACAAGCAGGAGCCAGAGTTTACAACTGTAAACAAGTTTTGTTTCTGCTAATCATTTTAGTAAGTAGTGGGCATGCATAAAGGACTAGCAGAGGAAACTTTCTCATGCTGCAGGCTGGGAGAAAATATAGACTCATGTCCTTAAAATATCACTTTCAAATCACTATGTAAATTCTGAATATACTGTTCTATTTTTACTCTTTGCTATTTCTTTAACTCAACCTCCATTAACTCCCAGCTGTAATAGAGCAAAATCCCCTAACCCTAAGCACTAGTTATTTTCCAAATAAGTTTTTCCTGGCAGTATAGATTACTTTTCTAAAATATTTACCTATCGTTCAGATTTTAACATTTTCCTGATCAAGCCTTTTCATTATCTGGCTTTTAAAAATCCTTTATCCTTATATAGTCCTTCTTATTTTTATGTATTTACTGTTTAGATAGCATTTTATATTTTATTTCTTACTTCAAGAAATTTGTGTCGGTTACTTTTCTCTTGTTGCTGAAACAAAATACCTGATGCCCAAAATTAGGGAAGGAAAGGTTTATTTAGCTCACAGTTTGTGGAGGTTTCAGTCTATACTCAGCTGGCTCCAGGGCAGAGAGGCACATGGCAGAGGGCAACATTTCATGGTGGAAAACAGCAAAAGCAGCAAGAGCAAAAGAGGGGAGCCACAGACAGCAGGCTTCTTTCCCTTCCTTACGTAGTATGTAGCCTGCTCTCCCCAGGGTGGGTGTAGCACTCACACCCATAATCCCATCTTTGGAACATGAGTCAATTAAAAACTCTAGAAGCCCGCCCATGATTGCATGAGGCTTTGGGGGACATCTAGACACAAACCATAACAAAATTATATGTGTGTATGAGTAGTTCAGTCTCCCTGAAGCAATCTTCCAACTGCTTTTCAAGTTCAGCTCGCAAAGACTTAGTTTTGGTCTAGAACTTCCTGGAACTTCCAGCCCTGGTCTGAGTTGGATACTTCCCAATGTCCTCATAGCTTTTTGCACCTTTGACTTACCATGTTCCAATATCCTGCCAACTTTTCCTTTTTTCCTCCACTTTAATATAAAGTCTTTTGGACCTATGCATTTCTTATACACATAATGAATTCTCAAATGGAGTATTTTTCTTGTTTATGAGCTATGTATACATATGCAGCATATTCCAGATGAGTAGACAAATACTCTATATGTCTTCTGAGTTGAGTCATGATGTTAAATAAAATTTTACTTGGTAAGTAAAGACAAAGAGGTTATACCAGATCCTGAGTAACATCTGAGCTACACTCACATATTTCAGTACAAAACATCTTATTGTTAATTACGAGAACTATATTGCCCCTCAGCACCAAATGTAAACTAGCACCAAACTATAAAAATCAGTATAAATACTCTTTAACAATAGCCTAAAAATAGACATGCCATTTGACCCAGCTACACCTCTCCTGAGCATATTCCCCAAATAATTAAAGGCATCACATCATAGCAATACATTCCTACCTATGTTTACAGCAGTGCAATTCACAATTGCTAAGCTCTGGAAACAGCCTAGTTGCCCACCAACAGACAAATCGATAAAGAAAATGTTTCTGTAGTCAACTGAATCCTCATTATTCCTTGAAAGAGGTCCTTCACATATTTTTGGCTTTTAATTACATAACTTTATTTTTGCCCTTCCATGGCAGAGTGTCTAATCTCTGCACTTCCTCCTTCTCAAGCTATTTTACTATCCTCGCGACTTGGCCAGTGAAGCAGAGTCGCAAGTGTGGAAGACAGAGCCACATGGAGACCAAACTACTCTCCCTGGACTTAGATTTGGGTGAGTCTATGGGGACAGGTGAGTCTTCTGCAGCAGGTGTGATTTTTCTGTGGGTCAGGCTGTAGTAGAAGTGATGCTTTAAATTTCCAGTTGCTTTGAGATTGCTTTTATTCTTGTCCAATGATGATCTTACTTCCTCTCATTATCACGTCAGTTTAAGAATTACAGGATTTGTAAGCCTTGGGTATTTATTGCTTTGTCTTCTTTTTATTCTTGTACTATCATCCCCCCTTTTTTTTCTGAGTTCTTTCAGTTCCAGTTTTTCAAATATTTGTTACTTATATTCTTTGTATGTCTCTTTCATTTGACTCTACTTAAGCAAAATTTGAATCCACAGAATTGCTACTGGCACTGTTTGGCACATATTTGTAAAAGGCATTAAGAAGAAGAAAGTAATTGATGACACAATCGCGACTTTTGTTCCCCTAATCTTGTTCACAGAGATGCACATTCTGAGACTTACTGTTTCTGTCATGAGGAGAGCATCCTTTCCAGTCTTCAACTGCGTAACTAAAGCCTTCTTCAGTGAACGCTCACCAGTGGTACTCTGGTATGAAAAGAAAGTGCAAATGTTCTCTCTTGAGAATCCTTGCAGAATATTTCTGGGATGCTAGAAAATTTAAGTGAGTAAAATAAAATTCATTTTAAAATGTCAGTGAATTTTGAGAAATGAGCAGTTCATCCCTAGACAGTCCTTGATATATTTTCTAACAGACTTAATTATTTTGCAACAATTTTCCAACTCTTTTACATTACCCAATTTCCAAAACTCATGGTTACACAGGGGTTTCAGGATGGGGTCTAGCAGGGACTTGTGACTCTAGATATCCACTCTTAAGACAAAAAGCAACCTGACCCTGTTTCGTAGCTTCTTTGGTGGTTCAAGACAGCATCTGTACAAAATAGGGAAAGCAAAACTTCATCAAGTTATTTTCATCTGCAGAAACAAGGAATGAATGTAAGAGTATGACAGTGCCAATAGCATTGCACGTGCACATGGACTGAGCATTCACTCCCACAGGAGTAAACTTCACGTTCGAGTCTCTCCCAGACAGAAACTCCAGCATTCACACGTACTCGCCAAGCTTATCACTCATTCCAGTGCTGCTCACCAGTCTATGGAGAATATTAGAATATTTTCATAGTTATTTACACCTTCAATATAGTGGCAGAATTTCAGACTTTGTGGCAAAGTAAACATGAAAAATATCTGTTTCACTCATTTCTTTGGAAAATGTATTTTAAAATTTTGGATGTTTAATTATTGATTTATTTTGCTGCAAAATTTTATTCTTTTCAATTAATAGTATGCTATTTCAGTTACCCATGGAATGTTCTTCTATTACTGTTACCAAATATTGTATTCATTTTAAAAATAAAACTCTTTACTATCAGTTGCCATTTTCTGCTTCTCCTTTCATCTGAGAAAAAAATTTTGAAGAAATATCTTTTGATATATCTTAGGGGATTTTATTCTTTTAGAATAGGAGACATATCATGTTTTCCTTTTTGGTATAAGAGTTATTGAAATTGCTGCATGTTATGTGTTTTCAAGCAACACACAAAATATAGTGGCAAGCATGAAGCTCTGGATTTGCATTTGTTGTGGTTCACAGCTGTGGGCACAGTGCAAGACACACAACGTTACTTGGAGTCAGTGTTCAATGCATACTGCAAGGAGGTCCAGAGGGACTGCCCATAACCAACCCTCTCACTGGGAGAGAGACTCATCAGGACAACCCCAAATGGCAGTTTCTGTGGCTTTTCATTAATAGACCCAGGAAGCAAGGATAAAGGAAAGAAGAAAGCATCTGGCTGGGAACTCACAGGAGGGAGAGGAAGGACAGGGGAACCCAGGGTGGTCTGTTAGATGACTGACCTTGGGATATATCTCAATGATAAATCAGAGTATGGGGAGGACAAAGGCCAGAGCATTCACTCCTTAAGGCAGTGTATTTTGAGCCTACTAGACCTACGGCCTGGTAGGCTATCATCTAATTGCTAACCATATATGGCTGGAAGGTTTGGGTGTGCTGCTCCCAAATTTCCTGATCTCTGCAAATCTATCTCATGCATACCTCTGGCAAGACTCCTCCCCAATTCATGAAAATATTAACTTTTTAAAAGTCACTTTGCTGAGTTGGATATAAAGAAGGGAACATCTTTAGTGCCTACAAACTGACGAGGATAAGTAAATATCCATGGAAGCATCGCAGTCCTAAAGGCCATGGACAATGCCCACCATTCCCAAGGTGCCTGCTTGGTGATAGTGTTTATATTGAGAACACTCACAATGAAGTGAACCTTCCCAGTGACTTCTAAGCCTATGGTGCAGTCTTCTTTGCGTAGGCACTGCAATCTACAGCCGGCCTAGCATATATATTTATCTTATGTAATTAAAACACTTTAGTCATCATTCCTCATTATATAACATTTCTGTCCTTATATTTCTTTGTGTGTATTCTGTGTGACATTTATTGTCTAGTTTTTATCATTAAGGCTCAATGTATCATTTATTAAATAAAGTCTATAATATATGCTCACTGGCCATAACAGATAACTTGAAAGACAAGGTCTTACTGCATAGTCTAGACTGGCCCAAACTGATGACCTTCCTGCCTCAGCCTCCTTTGTGCTGAGATTATAGGCATGTACCACCACTATCTGCTCATTATATACATTTTTGTGGATTCGCATGAGAACATTCATATAATTGGATGAAATCATTCAGATGGCTCAATATTACTTGTGAAATTTAATTTCCTGTGATACATCATTCTTCAGAATTCTCAGTTTTTTTTTTTTTTTTCCGGAACTAGGAATCGAACTCATGACCTTGCACTTGCCAGGCAGGCGCTATGCTATTGAGCTAAATCCCTATTCCCCAGAATTCTCAATTTCTACAAGAAAGGTTTCCATCAGTCAAATATTACAGAATTTTGACTATTTCTGAATGATACTTACATTGAAATTTGTAATAAATATTCACATCTTATATAAGTCTACCAGATTTAGTAGCTAAAAAATAAAAAGAAGGAAGGGAGGAAGGGAGAGAGGAAGCAGGGGAAGAAAAGAAGAAAAAAGGAAGAAAGAAAAAGAAAAATAAAACACTGGCAAGTACTTAAATTTAAATTTAGAGAATATAGCTCAGCAGTGCGGGGCCTGCCTGTCAAGTGCCAGTCTGTGAGTTTGATTACTGGTACAATAAATAAATAAATGAATAAATTTAGATTACAACATAACAGTATAACTGAACAAATATGTAAATGAACATTGTATGCTGCCTGCTTATACTAAAAGTGTTGCTCGTCTGAAATTCAAAGTTAACTTGTGTTTTATCAAGTAACCCCAGTTTTGCAATATATAGCCTTTAAGTCAGTGTGCATTTTGACCATTTTGCAGAGGTTGTATATTATGTGCAAAATAAAGAACTACAATTTTAAACTTCTTACACTGTGGCTGCGAAAACAAAACAGTTCTGAGCACCATGGAAGCAGGGAGTGTGTGGGCCAGCGCTCAGTGTGTGCACATTTGCAGCCTCCGCAGCGGGAAGAGGCCACGTTGGCTGGACACTGAGAAGAGCTACATATGGAGCTAGAATTTGAAGCAAAGACTGAACTGAAAGATTCACATTTTTGAGGGAATGTGTCTCTGTTTGAAGGTCAATAGTTCAGGGCATTTTTCTTATTGCTGCAAGAGTAGGATGAATATTTTCTGTATCAGTTCTCATCACTAGACTATACTTTGTTCATCTTCCTGTGATTGTCTATGGGGCCACTCCCATAACCACCTCAATCCGCATTTTCTTTCTACCAGAGACCTTTAATCTTCCACCACCTGACACCATCAAAGACATAGAAAGCAGGTAAGCTCCTCTGCAGCCCTGCTGCCTCACTGTGCAGTCATGAGAGTATACGGCAGAACACTGAAGACTACAACACATTCTAACTTCACAACCCTACAGCGTTGTGCTGGGCAGTTTTCCTTATTTCCTGTGTGATGGAGCCATGATATAATAAATGTACTTGTTACTTACACAAATTTTGTATTTATTTTATAAATACGTAAAATTTACTTAATTGTAAATCAAATAGTTGTTTATACCATTACATTCATGTAACATGTTGTGTAATTTTTGAGTTAGAAGATATTTTTTCTATATTACAGATACATGTGAGAAAGTTGAAGATAAATGAGGGTAAAAATTGTCTTTTACATCAGAGAATCAGTTAATGAAAGACCCAGAACAAAAGCCCCCAAAATTTGAAACCAAATCTTTTGTTCTTTCCAGTTTCCCTGATGTGTTTAAATGTCACTCACAGAGTATTACAATTTTAACTGCTTAATCAAATTCAACCAACTCCATGTATTGGCAACCTCTTTATATGACAGAACTGAAAGAGGAATATCTGGTTCTTGGTGACAAGTATCTTATTGTCATCTCTAAATGATCACTCTGTTTCCAAAAATGCTTATTTCATCCTTGTTTTGTTTATAACGTGGACATGAGAGGAGCACCTTTCTTTTCCAGTCCATGTCCTCATGCTTTCATCTTGGATTTAACTTTAGAAGGTTGGTGTAACCCCATCATTGGGAAATAGCTCTGCTAAACATGTGAAGAGAACTACTTTGTCAGAATTCTCTAACGCAGAAGTGGGTATGCCAGGTGGAACCTTAGGGAAATTCTGAGATGTTTGCTAAGGGAAGAACTTTTGCCATATCACATGAAGGTAAAATCAATGCTTGTTCCATATCTTATTTCATGGAACAGTTATCCTTACTGAGTGGAAATAATACCTTTCTCGTATACTAAAGATAAGAAAGTGAGCACAGAATTAGAAGTTTAAAACTGGGATTTTAATTTCAAGTCTGCATTGAAGTAACTATGTACATTTATCATGTTGTATAAGACCGCAGGGCTTGATTTGGGTCTTCTTTAACATAGCAACTCTAATCCAAGGCTACTTCCTCATGATCATGTTGAGAAGTATTAGTGCATGATTCAGAGATGCACAGACTTCATTGCAGCTCCAATCATATCTGACTTTAAATGTGTTTTCTGGATACATTATGGCTGCTCATATGTTTATCTTTTGCTTTTTTTATTCTTGGTACAGATTTAGGAGCAAGAGCATGAGAGAAAAACAAAGAAGAGACCTACTGAAAACCACTGAATGCTAACAAGACCCAAAGTAGAAGAGCTAGATGTATATTGACATAATTTCAAATGATGCTTCTTTGTTGACTGTAACCTAGATCTTTAATCTTCGATGGACATTTACTAACATAGTTATTAAAGAGATGAATTTCAGAAACAAATGTCTCAATAAACAATCCATAATATGGCTTTAAAACTTAAGATATTAAATATTGGACACCTAGTTCCTCATACAAAAATGGAAAACAAATGAGGGCACTAAAATGTTTGCCTTAGAAATAAATAGAACAGGATATAATTAAAATTGGAAGTTCAAAATATGTGTAAGAAGATGTTTAATTCACATTCTATGGCTGTCATTAGATATGCATATTTTGAGTTGAGAATTCTGATGAGAGTAAGAATAGGAAAGTTATGGAATATGATGAAAATGGGGTCTCATTTAAATGATGCAGATGC